ATCGTAGAAACGAGGAAGAAAGCAAAAGACTTTTTTTTGAACAATTTTCAATTGACTCAATTTAATTGGCGTAGTTTTTTTTTCGTTTCCTTGCTTTTTTTTTGTCTTATTCATTTATATATCGAAAATATCATAAATAAATTGGAACTTAAAATAATATATCTACTTTACTGTTACACGATAAATGTATTTGTTTGACCACAAGGTTCTTTTAGTAATTATTTAATTTATTTCAATATTATGTTTATTCTCACATTGAAAATATTCCATTGGCAAGTAACCATTACTAACATTACTACTGGCCTTTCTCATTTTCTTTTTCTCATGCATGTATTGGTCGATTGACAAGTAACCAATCAATATCAATATCTCTCTTCTTTTTTAGTATGAGTGACTATACGAAAGATAATTGATGAGAGAGAATTGATAAGTTCTCTTACTCTCTTTCTCTCTCTCTCTCTCTCTCTCTCTCCGAAAGAGAGCTATAAATACTCATGCATACACATTGTATTACTCATTCGAATATTCTTTTTTTTTTGTGTTGGTTACTCATCGTAAAATACATTATATATACATTCACTTATACATATACAGGTATGTTAGCTTACATAGAAGATTTACAATAGTTATATTAATAACCTGTCGACAAAGGAATTTATATAGACAATCGAATAAGCATAATTAAAAATTAAAACAATCTCTTCTAGATAGAATAACGTTTTTTATTTCTCCCTACTTCGTACACTGATGACACCAATTCAACAGAAACTCGATGTCTTAGAGAAAAAATGGTCGAAGGAACAGGCTTATTATACTAGATCTTCATTCCATTTTGGTACTCTAACAACAACACAGACACCACCGTTCGCCATAGAATGGCAACCGGTGACAAATACGGCAGTTAAGTTGTCTACAAATCATACAAGAAATAAAACGCAAATGTTTTTTAAAAAGCTCACCGAAATTCTTAATGATAATACTACAAAAAAAGAGTGTTCACAACAATTTATAAAAAAAATAAATAATGAGCACTTGTATTCTATCTTAATATTGATTATGGCCTTTTTAATTCTAATCGTGCTATTGGCAATTCTACATTATATTTACCAATGGAAATCAAAGAAATTTTTCTTTGTTCAGAAACGACCTAAAACTGGCCATAGTTTAGTTTCTTCTATATCAAATTCATTTGTCAAAAAGAAGTATTCTATGTCAATGCAAAACATGCAACGGTTTTCATTATCAAACGGAAGTGGCCAGGTAAAAAGATAAAAAGAAGAAATTCTTTTTCTCTCTAACACAGATAACAAACTTGTGTTAGCATGTTTTACATTAATCCTATTTATATTTTATAGAGTCTGATTCCGAATCCAAATGTACCACCTGTTTACTATTCATCTATCCCAGACATAAATCATTATTTATCTCCAACACATCGCTGGTCCTCTGTCTGAAATTGCACTTTATAAGAGACACAATTTAATGTTTGTCGATTTTTTTTTGTTCTTTTTTTGTTCTCTCATCTATTCAATTAGCTTCGGTTGTTTTATCCTTGAATAAATACATTCTATTTACCATTATATGCCATTATTCCACTGTAGTTGAAAATAATTTATGATGTTTTTCTCAATTCTTTTGATTTCGGTTTAGATGAATTCATCAATGTTTCAAAATTCTATTGAATCTTCACTCGATCGATTAGATCGTTTGAATTTACGTTATCAGCGAGAACTTGTTTTGAAAAATAAACACTATGAAGATTTAGTCGATCGACATTATCCACATTATAAAAAATTTGAATTACCACTTAATCATAACTTAATCTATATACATAAACAAACATCAATCGAAATATTAAATCATGTCATTAACGTTGCTTCTGATACATATAACTTTATTCTTGATACACAAAATGAAATTGATCCATACCCGTGGGCTACAAAATATACACCATCATTATTACAGATAAAATTTGATTCATTTAAACATTCACCGTTAATTCTTTTTGTTGAAGTATCATACTTAAAATCCAATTTTTCTACACGTACACACGACTATACTAAACAACAAAAAATAAAACAATTATTTAAAAATATATTTTCACCAAATAAGTATATTTTTGCATGGGGTAACGTAAAAGAAAAATTAACACCATTTTATAAATTTCAATTGTTTACTGAAAACGACTTAAATCAATTGAATCCAATTGATTTACATGCACATTTTAGAGAGTGGTATAAATTGTTCTTTCCATCGTCATTAATTTCCAAAGTGAGATCAAAGAATGAACCATACTCGTTACAAACAGCCATTTTTCTTGTTTTTGACGAATGGCTAAATACACGTATGCAATATGCTTCATGGAATTGTGGTATTGACACTAATTTAAAAACTTATCATTGTCAATTTTCGTCTAAAATTGACAATGATTATTATCATTTCGTTCGAGACGAAATTAATTATCGTAAAGAAATGGAAATATATGCCATTTCTAATTGTTTTGCTATAAAAAAATTAATGAATTTAATGCTCAAACAAAAGCCATTAAGTGAGAAAAACATTCTTTCATCATCTAAAATCATTCACTATAAACGTCAAAAAAGACCTCAATCATTAGTTTAAATAAGCATGTATATTTGTCTGCTTTCTCCTTTTTTTTTTTTCGTTGCTTAATAAACTTTGTAAATATATGTACATACATACATATACATACATACATATACATACATATATGTACATATATATACATATGATTTAAATTTCCACTTACTATTCTAGATTACAAAATAAATTTTACATTACTTATCATTGACTTATCAATATGGCAAAGGCATCAGCTTACGGAAAATTAATTGCTCTTAGTCAAGTTGTACAAGATTTATCTGGAGAACCAATTGATAATGAAATTGAAATAGATACTGAAATGGCTGAAATTATGGCAGCTAAAGTAATAAAATGTACTTTCAACGTTTCCGTCTCATCACTAGTTTCTTTTTTATTTCATTTTCTAGAAACGTACTCAAGAAGCAATCCGACGGCTATGTATTCGTGAAATGTTACCACTATTGGATACAGTCGATGGTGTTCAAAAATTAAAACAAATTTATCCTTGTAAAAGAATGAAGATATAATTCTTAAAATGTACTCGTATTATCTTTTTTTTTTGTTGTTGTTGTTGTCGTTTTTTTTTCATCCTATTATATTTATGTTCTTATAGTTATCTATATTATATTTAACATGTTTTCTTCTTCTTCAAAACTGTCATATGATTGGTCACAGAACGCAAAAAAAAAGT